TTCAAAGAAAGCACTATTTGCTGAAATCTGTCACTGCAGCGATCGTTTGGTTGCCTGTGCATCAATCGAAAACGTGAGCTGACGGATTTTTCTACTCGCAGGCTTATTTAGCAGCTTAAGCTTGTGTTTGTCTTTTTATTTTGTTCATGTTTATTGATGCCAGTGTGGGTCTGTGCTGGGATCACAACGACAGAGCAGCCGAGAGTCAGACAGCAACACTATAAGACAACTGAAATCTCCAGTTATGTAATGGGCACAGTGCAGGCAGCTGCCAACGTGAGTTGTCCAATGATGTAAATGCTGGTGTGACGGAATTCTTCCTTCTTTAGTTAGTGTTAGGCTTATAAGACTTAAAGTCTAATAATAACTAAAGATCTACAGAAGGACAGCGGTAAATGTGGGAAACGCAGACACACAAACAGTTAAAACGGCAGCAGATGAAGAAGAAAAACTTGGCCCTCACCTTTAAGTTCATCAAACACTTCCTGTCTCTGCTCGTGGTTGCCGAACTGGATGAAACACTGCAGCACTCGCACCGAGTCATGAGCAAACGCCATCTGGAGGCAGAGACAACGGTCCACAAGATTTTATAAAGACAAAACATAAGAGCAAGAGAAACCACATCCACAGCATTCGTTAACAGCAGGATAACCAAATGTATAGTAAACTGATGAAATCGCAGAGTGAAACTCACCTGTTTGATTTTCCCACGGATCAGATCATGAAGGTCCTTCATAAGTTTCTTCTTCAAGTCGTTGTCACAATTCTTCCTGTTGACACACACACACACACACACACACACACACACACACACACACACACACACACACACACACACACACACACACACACACCACACACACACACACACACACACACACACACACACACACACACACAGCACCATCATGTGTCAATGAGCAGGCAGCAGCACACAAAGTAATAATATTACAAAGAAATCTACCAGGAGTGTGAGCTTGTGCATATTAGATGGATGATGGTGTGTAGCAGCAAAAGTTGAGCCAGGTTCGGCTCTTTTACTGGACCATCCTACGTTTTTTCTGCCACAGTAAGTTGGTCTGAACATGACGTTAGTCACACAGAAACATAAATTATAAAAAGGAAGAACTCAACCTTTGTGTAGCTTGCTCTGGTATGTTTGAGTTCTGCTAACATTCATCCTGTTTTTCAGCCACACTCCCGTCAAACTCTTTGAAGTTCACTTCATAGTTTATTACATTTATTTGCAGGAGGCGACGTACAAAACACATTATTCTCACACAAAGAAAAAGGATTATTGTAACAGATTTTAGCTACTAGCTCATTTCTATCTGCAGTCTCTGGGCAGGTAGACACACGCACTGATATCACTAATGCAACTAATACAAGTTAAACAAAAAACAGCAAATACTAAAGTCAATCATAGATCTAACACAAATACAGACTTCTATCATTACAACCAGCACTACGCAATACGTATAAATGCTCTTAGATACTGTGTCAGTGCCAAATTAATACTGACAAGACTGACTTCCTAAAATCCAATCCAACATCTGTGAAGCTGCCAGTACCCTCCATCAGAGCTCGATGGTCAAAGCCTCTCCTCCCTCACATTTCCAACACTGGGTCAGATGCGCCCGTGCAACTATCTGACATTAACACCATGATGGACCAGCTGTGCAGAAGTGAGAAAGGAGCCAGTTTTTCAGATGCTCGTCGCCTTCTACCAAGATATTCTGTGACCTCGTTCAGCATTTGTCTATTTGTTTTATGAGTCTGAATGTATAAGGAGGTTAGTTTCACTGCATAGTTTTGATCTGTGTGTGTGTGGGTGTGTGTGTGTGTGTGTGTACCTCCTGAGGTCTCCCCACACTTGTTTGGACTGACAGATGATCTGGAACATGTCCTTCCTCTCCGCCTGCTGTCTGCTCTTCTTCAGGTCCTTCTTCCTCTGCTGCCGGTTCTTCTTCAGCTCCTCCTCCGTCAGCTCCTTGTTCTTTGGCTTAAACTCACCTTTCCTCATCCTCTTGGCCCCTGGACCTGTTTGGACATGTCAGTCATAATCATCAAGGAAAGATTCAGGCTGAATCCAGGCAGTGATGTAAAACGAATTAAACTTTAGACACTGTTGTTTTGAGCAGTGAAACAGGCAAAAAAGGGCAAAGGTAAAGATGAACCTCATGACTTTGTGTCGTAGCTATTTTGATTGATATCACCCCCAAATTCTCAAGACCCAATAATGTGTGTAATTTCTAAAAAATATTTTTTTGAACATTCAGGAGTTAGTAATTGAGATAAGGAGGAAACAAATTCCTTGAAACAAACTCAAATTCAAAAACTCAAATCAGTTCTTCAGAGCTGAACATGTAGGTTTATCATTCTATTTACTGAAACAGATGTTGCATCCAAGCTGATCTTCTTTCTGTGTTTGATGGAAAATGAGTCTGTTTCATTTATTTAGGATGAAGTACTCAAAGTTTTTCCAGTAGTTATTATTATGCAGCACACGATTTACACCCAAAGCCAATGTTTAGTGCCAAAACAGCCAGAAAGTAAAGGTGCAGAGGTAAAGAGCTGACATCCCATCATAGTCCAACTATCCAACTATTAATATTGACAAAGACAAAATACATAAGATGTTCACGCTGTTAAAATCCTGTTTGTTTTCTGTTTTTTTAAAAGTGTATATAGTATTTCAAACTACATTTGTGTTGTATTTACGTACTGTATAATAATTGTAGCGGGGGGGGGGGTCCTGTTGAAGGGGCTATAGTTTAACTGGTTTCGTGTGGCGCTTGGTGAGAGCTAAGAGTGTGGAGCTAAGCAGTGCAAATGCTGGTCAAAATGTTCAGCAGAAATCTGAGGCAAAAGACACGGACACTGTAATCTGACAGCCTCTGAAAAAAAAGAGCCACAGACAGATGTTTTCTTTCTCACCTCCACCCTCTTCTTCATCTTGTGGCATTTTCCTCTTCTTCTGCCCCTTCCCGGTTTTGGAGAAAGCAAATTTCTGTTCTTTCTTGCCACCATCTCTTCCCTTCCCCGGTCTGCTCTTCCTCTCTGTGTTGTTATACGGTTTGAAGGGCTTCTTACCGCCTGGCTTCCCACCTGGCTTTCCACCTGGTTTTCCACCTGGTTTTCCACCAAGTTTGGTCCCTATGGAATCTGGGCAGAGTGAGACATAAACCAGTAATGACAAGTCTGGTTGAAACTGATGGTGTACATAGCTGGTTGATGTGAAACGTGGCTTACCTTTTCCTTTCTGTGTCAGCTTCTGCTTCTTTCCACCTTTAGGAGAAAATGGTTTTTTGGATTTGGCCTCCATCCTACAGTAGGTCCCAGAGATAAATGTAGATAAGGCCAACAGCAGAAAGACATACAGGCATACAAGTAACCAGCGGCTGAGCAGTGTTTCTACGAATGAAACACTTCTATATAACACATTCCAAGATCAATCTTTAACTGCTGTATCTTCAATTTAAATATTTAGAAAAAGCTTGCAGGAAAGTTTCAGCTGATTATTTTCTGCATAGTGATATGAAATGAAACTGGTATCAGGTTCAGCATAGAGATGAACATTAGTTTGGTCTCAGAATGTATATAAAAAACAGGAATTCATAAAAACAAAGCCAATGTAATAACTTTGAAGGACTGGTATGTAAAACACTGAGGACCTGAAAACACTATGAGATGTGTAAATATGCAGGTGGAGATTCTACACAACCAAAACCCAAAAACACAAACAAGCAATGAGTGCTAAAAGTATTTTTTAATGAAATGTTGACATTTCAGGGGGAATTGTTGTTCTTTTAATCCGCTAGATTTCTGTTAGCTGCCTTAAAATGTTACCTAGAGGCTCTCTTAAGGAGTCAGACCACAAACAACAAGAAAGTTAGCTACTAGCTAACCACTCGGGAACATGTAAGTTAGCACCTTAACAAACTATCTTTCATGACAACTCCTGATAAGTCACTTACTTTTGCATTTTAATGCTGCACATTTACTACTTTGAATAGCTTTGGACTGTACTGTAGCTACTTTGACCTCGCTATAGGTTTTGGCTTATTTTTCCCAAATTGGTCGGTTAATTACATAAACCATGTTTGTCAACACATGTTATTAAACTATCGATACTGCAGCGCGGCTCTCAGGTTTATCTGTACTGTTAACGTGAACAATTACACAGTTTGAGACATTTGTATTAGTTTAACTTACATTTCAAATGCACACACACGCTGCCACAGCGCTGTCCCATGCGTTCTGTTACCGACACGGTTTACGGCACAACCCGTCGAATCAGCTTCAACTTTCGCTGCCGTAAAACGTAGAGTGTTACGACAAATCTTTATCACCGAAAAGTAGTAGAGCACGAACGTTTACGGTCTGTGTCATCCCATTTAAAGTTTTTAATCGGCTCCGCAGCAATCCAACAGTAAACCGACAACAACCTAGTTCAATATCTGTCAGTAGTTGTTTCCCGCACGACTGTGAAGACGCCATGTTTGTTTACAAGTGGTATTTAAAGGGACAGCCGGACCTTAAACCTCGTCACTATGGTTACAGCAATCTACGGTATCTACTGCATGTGTATCAGTAGGAGTTAAGAGCCTAAAACAAATCACAACTTTATATTAAGTTAAGATTGGTCCATTTTATTTATCTTTTTATTTAAACTCTCTGCAAGCTGATACAGTAACCTGCAGACATTGCAGCAGAGTCACTTTCCTTGTTGCCTAGCAACGCCTCCAAACTAAAGCGGACTTGGTCAGTCGGTTTATCAGGTACAGAGATAAATGTAGAAGGTAGCAGACATTAAATATGAGTCAGAGTTAATTTTAAAACGTCAGTAAGTGTTAACCAGACGCTGCATTTCGCTTTGCTATCACCTTCCCCGTACTTTAAAGCCTGACGTCTGTTTGGTCGAGTTGGAAATGTCTTTGAATAATAAATTCCTCTGTTTGTTTTACAGATAAATGAGACAGAGCAGCAGATAATTTAAAATGGCGGAAGAAGACACAGCTTGTGTCGGTGAAAAGGCTGAGGAAAACACTGAAGGTAGAGTCATATCTAGCAAAAGGCCTTCAGATTCTGCTGAAACAGTTAAAATGAGAGTAAAAATAAACCCACTACATGAATGTGAAATGCCAGTAAAAATGGAATATCGGAAATAAGTTGAGGTATCGATTTAAATGTAAGTTCTGAATGGAATATCAGTAGAAGTGTAGTTAAGCAAACATGACAGGTGGAGTGTAATGAAGTCAAATGAACTTTTAATCAGTTAAAGAATGAGAATTGAAGGTGGTGAAAATGTGTGATTTCATTGTGCCAATCAGACAAATTGTCACTTGAAATTAAGAACATTTCCCCGTAAAGCAACTTGTAAATTAACGGGGAGAGGCAGTTAAACTAAAAGTTTTTATTTAGCATATTCTCAGTAACCAATTAGAGTCTCCAATGACCCGATGGTTTTTATAGTCTCAAGACCCAGACTTTTAAATGCAATATCTCATTTTAAAAAAAACATTGGAATAGTTATTTTTCTTTCAATGCTCTTTTTTGGGGTAAAATGCACAAGTTACTGCAGGTCTGCTGTAAAACTGCTGTCAATGCTGTCCTTCACAGCATGTGATACTGAGCACTCAGTGATGCAGCAGGAGATTGACGAGGAATCACAAAAGCAGCTCTCTGCAGACACGTACTACAAGTATGAGGATGTTTACTCCAGACCATCCATCACACCCGACTCTGAAATCCCAGAGAACCTCCTGCACCTTTCGTATCCTTCTTTGAAAAAAACATTTCACACCATAGTTCTTCTCAGATTTTCTCCTCATAATTAGAAAATAGAGGCAATTAGGACACTCAATACAGTTTTTTTTCAACTTGCAAGTGTAGCCTTTTCACCTAACTAACACAGTTTATGCTGCTCAGTAGTGAGAATAAGTCTTAATGCCCTGAAGTTTCTTCACCAAGACATAATTTTCAGTCCTTGTTTTCAGTTCGTTTGCAGGCTTATTACTATCTACTTTATTGATCATTATTTATTTCAGTCAAACTATTTTAATGAAAAAATACAAATACAACAATAAATGATAGAAATTAGAGAGGTGACATTACATTGCTATATACAATATACACATTACAATGTAAGAGAACTGTGACTAGTATTTTCACCTATTATGTGTATACTATGTATGATATAGGTATAGGTATATAGATATAAGAATGACTAATAAAACAATAATCATGTATGCATTCTTACTATAAAATGTTTTTATTTATACTATGTGTGCCATACACAGACTATAGAGTAATAACATACAGTGAATCTGATCTAATCCTTAATTCATTCTACAACCAGTCATTCCTTTGGATACGACAGTGGGCGCAGGGCGAACCTGCAGGTGCTGGATGACAGAACTCTGATCTTCATAGCAGGTAACCTGCTCGTCCTGCTGGACATTTCCACCAAGGAGCAGAGATACCTCCGCTCCTGCAGCGGAGGAGGAATCGGCTCCATCACGGTAAGATGGCTGACAAACTACGTTATGTTCGAGAGGCTCAAGTCTGTTTGTGACTGACAGCAGGAAACACTGATGAGATGGAAAAACAGAAAGATAACTTTACAATTACTCAAGTACAGCTTTAAAGTTGTGGTACTTGAGTAGCTGTTTGAGGATTTACTAGAGTATTAACTAGGTAAAAGAATATGGAGGATCACTTACAATGTTAAAGTCCTTCCTACACTACTTTTAAGGATAAGCATCAGTTGATTAACACTTAGTACTATTTCACTAAATACCAGTGCCGCAGTACTTATAAATGTAATTACAGAAGTTTGTTTGTTTTAAAGACAACACCTGTGGTTTTGTTTGTTTGAGCCCATTTACCAGAAATCCTATATACGTTAATACTTTATACTTTTCGGATCTATTTTTTCCTCGCTGTTCTGGGAAGCCATTGGTTCATTTAAGTCATTTGTTTGTGCAGACTGACCTGAAAAATCTGAACTACCACAAAATAATGTGTATGTATGTAGACTTGATGTTCACTGCGACTGATAATATGGTGGGACTCTGTAAGTAGTTTTAAATCAAGGCTTTTATGCCTTTTTACCTCTGGAGCTCTCTTAAGTATTTTATTTGTGTGTGTGTGTGTGTGTGTGTGTGTGTGTGTGTGTGTGTGTGTGTGTGTGTGTGTAAAGGTACACCCTAGCAAAGACTACTTTGTTTCAGCAGAGAAGGGAAACCAGCCCAACGTCATTATATATGAATATCCCTCGTTACGACCGTACCGCATCCTCAGAGGTAAATGGGACTCAGATTCAAACAGTTATATCTTTTTCACATGATCTATCATTCATTATTTGATCATCGTGTTTTAACCTGCCTGTCTTTAGGTGGTACAGAGAAGGCGTACAGCTTTGTGGATTTTAACCGTGACGGGAGCCTGCTGGCCAGTGTGGGCTGCGAGCCTGACTACATGTTGACGCTGTGGAACTGGAGGCAGGAGGAGGTGATGCTGAGCTGCAAGGCCGTTTCTCAGGAGGTCTACAGAGTCAGCTTCTCCCCATACAACCCAGGACTGCTCACGTCATCAGGATCTGGACACATCAAGTAAACAACCTACTGAATCATCCTAAAACCCCGAAACCCTGCTACAGAAACACTGCTATGATCTACATTTTAGGTTCACTCAGTTACTTTTTTTTTTTAACAAATGACGTCTAGTTTAGTAGCAGAAAATAGTCCAGGGAGTTTTTGTTTTCTTTCTTTTGATGTTGAACTACCATGAAAAGACATTAAACTCAGTTAGATAAGGGCAGACTGCGGTGCTTTTAAAGGAACAGTTTTACATTTTGGTAAATATGCTTATTTGCTTTCTTGCGGTTAGTTAGATGAGAAGGTCAATATTACTCTCATGTCTGTATGTTCAATATAAAGCTAGAGCTAGCAGCAGTCATGTTAGCTCAGGACAGCTACTGGGAACAGGGGGAAGCGCTAGTCTGGCTCTATCCAGAGGTAACTAAATCAATTCCTCTTAAGTTCACTAATTCCCATGTTTGTACAAAAACACAAGGGTAAATGCAAAGGTGAGGTTTTACGGTGGGTAATGTGACTATTTCTTGGCCAGGATCAGTGACTTCCTGGTGATCAGATAACCTGAGGAAACTCGAGGAAACCACTGCTGTAACTCCCTCATGAAACTGCAACTGTCAGAGAAATTACCTTAGACATCAAAAGTTAAATTATTCCATTGATACATTGATAGATAATGTGTTTCATATAAGGTGATAATACCTTCTCCCCCTCTTTTTATCAGATTTTGGAAAATGGCTAGCACATTCACTGGTCTTAAATTGCAAGGACTTATTGGAAATTTTGGAAAAACCGCAGCGACTGATATCGAGGGCTACGTGGAGCTTCCTGATGGAAAGGTCTGTGCTCTGCTGTTCTGACAGGTTGGGTTTGTTTGGGGGGGGGGGCTTTGCGGTCAGATTGGTTTTGTCTGCTGCTGTTTGCAAGGTCATGGGTGAACTTTCAAAGATATTTTGGTTTGGAAAAATCCTCTGTAGGAGTCAAGAGAACTAAACGTTACTTCTGACCCTCGCCTCACTTCGTGTCTTCTTGTCAGGTGGTGTCCGGCACAGACTGGGGCAACTTGCTGCTGTGGGATGGAAATGCCATTAAGGTGGAGATTTGTCGAAAGGAGGGGCGGACCTGCCACGCCGGGATGGTCCAGCCATTTGCCCTTGAGGATGGACAGCTGATGACAATTGGCTCTGATGGAGTAGTCCAGGTAAGATACTTGACTGTTTGGTGATTGTTTCCACATTAGTGATGGTTTTGATTTTGAGCCATAGCTTGTGTTTAAATATCTTGTGATGGCAGCAGTTTAAATCCCTAAAACATTGTCACATTATATTGACATGAACTGAAGCTCTACACAGAAATTAGATCAACTGTTTTAGATCTTGAAGAGATGGTTGACTCTTCTCCACATCCCCAATAAGACTGATTGAGTAGGGACGATAATCCTGAGTTTCTGTAATCATATATTTGTACAACCAGTATGACTTTGTAACAACACCCCTCCTCCCCTGCAGGGCTGGGACTTTGAGAGCATCGACTCTGCCGACAGTAGCAGCGACTGCAGCAGGTTTGAGATTGAGCCCATGAATGAGATGGTGGTCGGACACAACGTCTGCCTCTCCTCTGTGGTGAAGAGCTCCCTGCCTGACTCTTTCATCTGGTTTGCTCAGGTCAGAGGGGCAAAAAAGTCAAAAGTCACTCTTCAAAACCATTTGAAATGCATGATCCAGTCTCACTCCCTCTGCTATGTTGTTTTACACTGAAGGATTCCAGCGGAGCCATCTGGAAACTGGATCTTTCCTTCACCTACACGGCAAGTCACTGTACTACTGCAGCAAGCTGTCATGTGGCTCAGTGCAAAATATGTTTGAGTACCCTTCCAGTGTCTTAAACAGAACATTAAGCATATCATATTCAATCATCTAATAAATAGTTGTAAAAAAAAAACACAGTATGCTCTCGCAGTGTGATGACAGTTAATGTATTTCCTGTGTGCAGACTCCTGATCCAGAGTGCCTGTTTTCCTTCCACGCCGGAGCGATCCAGGGCCTGGATGTGTCGAAGAAATCCCACCTGATGGCCACGACCGCTCTGGACCGTGAGTCACACACATTTCCACACCTGCACGCACGCTGACACACAGGCGCACTATAACGGGTACTGCGTCTCTCCCTGCTCTCCAGGTTCAGTCCGAGTTTTTGATTTCCTGGCGAAAACAGAGCTGACCACCAGCCGCTTCAATCAGGGTGGAACTGCTCTCAGCTGGGCTCCACCTTTGGTGAGTGTGCCGGTATGAAAATGAATCATGCTACCACAAGTGAAAGAAAACTGACCTCTGGACTTTGTCTTTAGGTGAACCAGGGTGGAGGTTTACTGGTGACGGGTTTTGAGGACGGGGTGGTCCGCTTACTGGAGCTGTACAACCCACAGAGGCTGAATGTGGTCACCGGGCGCAGCCCCAAAGGAGAAGCAAAGCTGCGCCTCAAACAGGCCTTCAAACCCCATAATGCCCCTGTAACTGCTGTGGCATATGAGCGAAACGGAGACATCTTAGCCACAGGAGTAAGAGGTTTTCCTGGAAAACTGTGTTTATCACTGAGAGCCAGCATTAGAAAACTACCAACTTCACAGGAAACAGCAGTTTGTCAAAATGCTTGTTTACTATTATGAAAAACACAACTTGCTTTGTCTGTTTTTTGAAACACATGATTTTGGAAATCTTAGATTTTTAAAATAGGCTTAAAGGTTTAATATAAATATGTCACTGATGTTGTGCCACTGATCTTTTGAGTATTGAGGATTTCACTCACATCAGATAAAGTCATAGATGAGACCTCAGTGACTTTATTTATTGTTTTCTACATTGTGTACAACTACATTGTGTACTTTCTACAAAGTGTTTTATTTCCTCTTTTTGTTATTCATCTCACCTTTCTGTTCTGTCACCTCGACCTTCCTGCTCAGAGCTCAGACTGCACTGTGTTCTTCTTCATTGTCGGGGAAAAATACAACCCCATCGGCTTTGTCCACGTTCCCGGGCCTGTGCAGGGGCTGGAGTGGTCACCTCATTCCCATGTAAGTCTGGTCTCCGGCCATCGTGGCCGTCAGAAAGGGAAACACTGACCCAACCCACCTTCACCCAAATTTCTCTCTGATGAAACGTTACCAGTTTGACCGATTTCTTTTACATTTTTACCCAGAGTGAAAACAGGCTGCTCATCCTGTGTCAGAGTGGTCACGTGACTGAGGTGCAGTGTCCTGACCCGGAGGCCCAGAAGCCAACTAAAACCTTCCAGCTGCCTGAGCTGTCCAGCAGATCCTTCAGGTTCAGGAGCATCAAATCTCGAATCAAGGTCTTTGCTTAGTCTGTCTTAGCTTTCATTTGCTGGGTTTTAATCGTACGTCGCTTTTTATGGCTGTATTACGTTATACTGCATGTTTTGTGTGTAATCTACATTGTAATTACTCGTGATGTCATATCTGTTGTCATTCAAGTATTTTTCTGTCCTTTATTTCCTGCTGTCTTAAACGTTATTTATTTAAAGGACTGATGCCTGATTTTATTGTGTTTTTTATTTGTATGTTTGCAATTCAGAGAGAAGAGGAAGTCGCAAGACGTCAAGCTGTAAAGGAGAAGAAGAGGAAAGAGAGAGAAAAGAGGTTGAAAGAATCGAAGCAGCCAGAAGCAGAGCAAGAGGAAGAAGAAGAGGAGAAAGAGGAAGAGTTACCGCCTATCTACATCCCCGACCCTCCAAGTCCTCTCTACTGTGGCTTCTACTCACAGCCTGGCCAGTTCTGGCTCTCCATGGTACACACACACACATGGTACACGCACACACACATAGACACACACAGTATGTATTTCTTGTCAATGCGCTATTACGTTTCAACAATCAGGAGATAGTAACAATGGACGATGGAGTCAATCACCTAAAATCAACCGAATTTGTCAACTTGTATATCGATTAAATAAAAAAGAGAGGAATTTTTAAATCGTTAGACAGTCATACAGGGATTTCAAAGTTTTATTTATGTAGCCTAATATCACAAATCACAAATTTACCACAAAAGGCTTTACAATCTGTACACTCTTTAGCCTTAGACCTTTGATTCAATCTGTAAAAACTTCCCAAAAAAGTCCTTTAACAGGGAAGAAAAGGGAAGAAACCTCAAGAAGATCAACAGAGGAGGGGTCCCTCTTCCAGAATGGACAGACAGACAGAGTAGACCCACAAAGAACAGTTACAGTATGAACAATCAGGACGACAAAACTATAGGTAGATTGTAAACACATGAAGAATACGGGGCCAGCAGGATGATTTTTTTAATATGGCTGTGTATGTAACTGTTTAGTACTAAAAGTATTGAAATGTTCAGTCAGATTCATAACCGTATCACTTATTCTTTGATCCTGATTGCAAACCAAACACATATTGACCAAGTGACTGTTTTCCACCACCCTAGAACTTTACCAGAAGCTGAAGAAAGGATGTTTTAACACATACTGTATCTACAAATGACATGATAACACTTCACAGAAAGTATCCAGGAAAGGGATCTGAGGATGGATCTTTTCTGTCTCTCCTGTAGGGAGGCTTTGACTCAGGTTTCTTGTATCACTGTAAGTTCTCTGAGAAGCAGGATGAGGATCCGGACCAACGGCAGGATGAGCCCTTTGGCTTCCTGCCTGTTGACAACACAGATGACGACCCTATTTGCTCCGTCAACTTTAGGTAAGCTGGAGGGCAAACAAGCAAATCAGTTTTCTTCTACTCTACAGCCTCTTTCACATATGCACCACAACAGTGTTACGTGTGTAACGTGGTAGTTGAAGTGTCCTACCTGGTTCTTTGTTGTCTTGGTGTGTCATAGCTCCAACAGACAGCTGATGCTCTGCGGCATGCACTCAGGTTCCATCAGGGTTTACCTGCTGCAGCCCGGTGACCACAGCCTCACCTCCATGCAGGCCTACTGGGCTCTCAGTGTTCACGACAACCAGTACGGGCAGCTGCGACACATTCGCTGTAGCCATGACGAACACTTTGTGCTGACCGCGGGAGATGATGGGAACATCTTCTCCTTCAGCCTGCTTCCTCCAGAGGAGCTGCAGAAAGGGATCCAGAGAAAGAGGGCCAAGGTTCCTTCACCGAGGGTCGGTCCACGTTTTATTTGTCACATTTCTGTCACATTTCTTCATATTTTTAAACAAATTAAAATGGAATTTAAAAGGAATCTAACTGTGCAGTCCGGTATTAGGTCAGTTGTTGACAGGTGTCCTGCACTTAAATGACATTTCAACTGTCACAGCTGGCGCATGTTTTTGATTGAGGCCTTCTGCCGTATCAGCAAGGTTTTTCGAACAGAAATGACGGGCCACAAACATTAATGGCATGTAAAAGCAAACAATATAGTGCAGGTTGGCAAACTGGATGACCTGTGTCATGTTGTTCACGTTATTCTAACAGGTGGGTCTTGAAAATGAGGCATTGGCTCAGGACATTGAGGACCCAGCAGCTTACAGGTGAGTGTGAATAAACTGTTTAGGGATAATTTGGTCTTCTTGTTTTTCTCTCTCACTTTTCTTGTCTTCCTCTGTGTATCAACCATGTTTCTTTCTTTCTCTCACTCTGTTTATTAAGTATCTATTGAGTAGATAACTGTTGTCTGTATTGCATTTCTCATTATTTATATGGATCTCTTGCATTTATTGAAGATTTTTTTTAAAGATGTAGCACTGATTACACTTGGGGGCATACATGCTGCTGTTCTTGGGGTCACTCTGAAGCCGGAAAATCATGAACGTTTTCTCTCTTCTAACTTTCTAACCCCCCCCAACTCCCCCCAGCATAGAGACGGCTAAACAGAAGCTGGAGAAGGACCGTCTGCAACGGGAGGCTGAGCTGAAGATCACAGAGAAGCGGAAGAAGATGGCTCAGCTCCAGAAGAAGTTTAAAGAGGTGCTGGACATAAACCAGAGTCTGCCGGAGCATGTTCGCCTGAAACCTGAGGTAGAGACACACACACCTGGGTCTTATCCACTGGTCTGACAGTTCATGCTGTTTTCCATTGTAGCAGCTCTGATTTAGTTTTAGAACAAAGCTAAGATTCACCAAAATTCACACCAGAAGTGAGACATCAGTGCGGGGCAAAAATATTCTTTAAATTGAACTATTATTATTATTATTATTCCTCACTGACAGAATCTTTATACAGTATGTCTCACAGTATGTCAGACTGATGATTAGCTGTCACCATCATTCAGTTCAGCTTTTTATTCAAGTAATCAGAGGTAGGGAGTCGGAAGATGCCTTTACATTCACTGTGGTAGGCTGGTTACCGTAAATTTGCATAACACGCAGCTGGTCAGATTTCCCACCACCACAACCTTATTTTGGAAGCATGGCTTACTTATTTGAAGCAACAGAATTAACTGCTTGCTGACTTGTTTAGACTTATAGAGGTGACTTTGTGTTAGTTGTAGCTCCTTATGAAAAACAGGTTTCTTGTTTACATCACATTTAAGAAACCAAGACACAGGAGAAAGCTGACTGTAACTGTTTCTTAAACAAATGTAAACACACTGTTTGGACAATTGTTTGGGATAATGCTGTGTCCTCAGTTATATGTGCTATGTGTGTGTGTTTGTGTGTGTAGGAGCTGCAGCTGGATCAGCGTTTCAGTGAGGAGGCAGAAAGGGTGAAGTCCCAGCGGGTGATGGAGGTCAGAAAGCAGCTGGCCTGGGAGGAGGAGCGTGCCCACATAGCACTCAGCAAACTACAGGAGTGGTACTGACTGATCACACACACACACACATGCACGCACACACGCACGCACGCACACACACACACACACACGCACACACACACACACACACACACACACACACACATACACAAACATACACACAGACAAACACATCTAATGATGATTATTGTCTATTAATCACTTTTTTCTTTTTAAATGTTCAGATTTAAATGTGAACTTTGGTAAATAGGTTTGATCTAGTTTTCTGCACATGCTTCAGCTTCATGATGCTTTGGATGGTGGATATAAATAAGATTTATATATGAGTTTGAATATTCCTCCTGACATCCTGAGATGTTTTAATTGAATTGGATTTTGCCCCTAGGTACAAAGTTATACGGTAAAGGAAACCAGCCTCCAACCAGAATAAAACCTTTCACATATGTGTTTGTTTGCAGGTTCAAAGACTCTCTGGAGGACAAAGTGGTCACTGTGGTCGCCATCTGCACCGACCACAAAGTCTCTACCTACCGTTTGCCAACGCTCACCAAGCCTTCAACCCAGCTCAGACATCAGAGCAAACACAGCCAGCTTGACAGAGATACTGCACCAGAACGCAGGAAATCCAGAGCCGAGCCTGCAAAAGACAGCGGTAGCATAGAGGGTAAGAAAGTGTGTGTATGTGTTGGTTTCACTCATCAAAGACATGCTTGACCTCTCACCTCTATGTGTTTTCCAGAGGAGGAGGTGGTACGTCCTAAGGTGGCGCGTCCAGCAGGGATTAAGCTGGGAGACCGGCAGGTCGAGAGGCTCAGAAAGGCTGCTGAGAAAGCTGAACAAGCTCGAGCCAAAATAGAGAAAAGGAAGCAGGAATGGGATCAACTGTGAGTTTCATGATCAACATGTTACCTCTGTACTCTGGGCTCTAGTGATATTTAAGTGGTTTTATTGAATGGTCACGGTGTTCCCTGTATTCTTAAAGATCAATTTAAAAAAATATAGTGCCAGATTTACCCATGATGGTGCTCTGGAGCTGTGTAAGTGTAATAAGTGTAACTATTTCAATGATGGGGCAAAACTGTGATGCATTGTTGGTGCCTCAGTTACGCAGAGAAGCCAGACGACAACTGTGAGGATCCTCTGGACGTGCAGGCCATCTGTAAAGCCAGAGAGAACATCGGAGACTTAAAACTGAAGTCAGCCAAAGACTTCACGGTGCCCAAACACCTGAGGATGAACACTGAGAGCAAGAGAGCACAGCTGATTGGCCTGGAGGAAAATGTACACAAACACACACAAACACACATACATATCTTAGCTCATTCACAGCATGAATTTCTTTTAGTAATATATAATAAGTATGCTCATCTCATTGGCTGCGTATCTCATTGAAAACCAAATGTCTTTGGGTTGGAATGATCGGATTAAAAAAAACAATAGATTAATGAAAAGAACATAAGTTGCAGCTATAGAAGATTAATTTAATGACTCCATCCATCCTATCAGATCCGTGAGAAGCAGACTGAGATGAATGGACGTATCGTGGCGTTGCGGGACTCAAAGGTTTGCCTGGTGTCTCAGTTGCGCGCTCAGGCTCAGCAGCTCCAAAAGGTCCAGCAGCGTCTGGCGGCCCATCTCCATCGCCCTCCACCCGCCCTCCCGACCATGCTACCGGAGGAAACCCCGGAGAAGAGGCTGCAGTACAGCCGCGCCACCCTGGAGCGATACCGTGTTCTGAGGGAACAGAGGTACAGGAGTCAAGACCAAGTCTACACTCAGACCAAAGTTCACAATAAATACTGTACTTTTAGAACATGATTTTTTAGGGGACAAGCAGATCTATAGCAGTCATCAATTCTTTTGATCATCTTCTGATGATAAACAGTATATCTACCTTTTATTTTAAAACAGATTTAAGTCCATTCAGCAGGAGGAGCAAGGGGGAACTACAGATTTGTTGGAACAGCTGGAGAAAGAGATGAAGGGGGAGAAGGAGAAAGAGGAAGATGATCAGGAGAGAGGAGAAGAGGGGACTTCCAGCACCCAAAGAAGAACCAGAGAAGAAGAAGACACATCAGAGGAGGAGGGAATGGAGCTGAGCGAGCTTGAGGAGAAGCTCCGTAGGGAGAAGGAGATCAGACTGTTGTTTGAGCAAGACTCCCTGCTGGAGCAGGTCTGTGATCATCATTGAATAATGAATAAAAAAAAATCCATTACATTAGATTAAATACTTAATCATCAACAAAATAAGGTCTAGAATTAACTGCACACCTGATATTACAGGCTGTAACAGTGTAATATAATCTGCTTATGTGTTTTTTAAAATCATCAGATGGAGAGTTCAGTGTGTCAGTTTGACGCAAAGCTCATGCTGCTGCGTCACCAGAAGCTACGTCTGGACTGGCAGCTGAAGATGGCCGACCTCCGTCAGCTGACGCTCTACCAGGAGCTGCTGCTGCTCAAGGAGTTTGACAGGAGGGAGGACAGCCTGCAGGAGAAGCTCAACGCACGTGTGAAGGAGGAGAACAGCATTGTGGTGGGAGGGAGTTTATGTGCCTTTGTGCCTGTACTTAAGCAATCTGTTTAAAGGACTATGCCAGTGGTTTTTTACATTTTAGCCTATAATTGCATACTTGCATACTACAATATTGCTAACCGAAGTACCGAATATTTGTTTTCTGTCCATCAGGCAGCAGTTGGTTTCAATTCAATTGCAGACAGAGTGAAAATCACCTTTTTGAAAGCTCCTGACTTTTGCGCCCGCTTAGTAGTAGTGTCAAAGTGGCAAACAGCGATGCATCGACTGCACAGATTCTCACTAAGATTGTCTTATTTTCCTACAAACAAAAACTTGTGCCATCAGACAGTCATTCAGGCAGTCAAAATCACATCTGAAAGTTGCTGTACTGACATAAAAATTTAACACATTGTGACTTAAACTGTTGCGGTTTGCTAAAGTAGTGCATATTATGCATATATACACACATATATGTCTTTATATGTATGTCTTTATTGACTCAGGTCCAGACAAGTACATACATAGCACAAACCATACAGACACTGATGAGCCTTGACATAATGTCCACTCTGACTGGTCTGTGGCTACACAGCCTGATAGGCAGCAGGGGGCGATGCACTGTGTGTTGTGACACATTCTTTCCACAACCATCATTCAAATTTTTTGCAACATGTTCCACTGTAGTCCGTCTGTCACTTCAGACCAGATGAGATCAACTTCATTGGCCTTGTGCAATGTTTACATTCTTGCATTCAAACAAAACAACACTAACTTTGGAGATTCTGCTATTATTGAGCCAGAAGTTAGTTTGTCTGTATTTCTGTTTTTCAGACAATAATTACTTTTACAGCTGAAATTCCTGTTTGAACTCTAAATATAGAGCCCACACTGATTGAAGTTTTTGTGCTCACGCTGCCACTTTTTATAAACTGATGTTTCAACTGCTGCTCAACAGTTAGAGTCAATGTGATCCCGCTGATGTCTGTGTGAGCCATCGGTAAGACATACCACAGTCATGTGGTAGCTGTTATAACTGTCATACCCATGGTGACACAAATACACCAGAGATATTAGTAAATAAGCAAATACTTGGGTACAAATACTGAGTTTAGTTGTCATAACTGGTGGGAGTAAAATGGCTAGGTGTCAAAAATATCTGATCTAATCCTATTTTCATGATTTTCTAGACTTAGCAGTCTTACATGAGCCATTTTAATGCAGCAACACAAAGATATTTAAAACAATCTCTAAAGCTTCTCAATTACATACAAACTGAAGTTTGCTAATATCAGCTTTTCTACATCCAAAAACCACAACTTAGGTTTTATCACTCATATCAATTACGTAGGGGATCTGATGCTTTCTGCAGCCCTTCTCGTCTCATTGAAGACACAATAATTACATTGTCCATGTACATCAGTAGCAGAAGCTGAATATAACTGTCTGTCATGGTGTTGTTAGAATGAATAGGCTGGCAGCCAATCTGCAGTGCTTTATTGTGTCCAGTAAAAGAACAATCAAGAGTTTTCTTTTTAAATGATACAAAGTGAATAACAAGGCAACAATACTGTAACTCTGACAATAATAAAAAGAAAACAGCACCTAGCATCTAACAGCATGTTATTTTTAATTCTGACAGTTGGGGATCAATTAAAATTTGTTTCTGTAAGTGACTGAATTTAAAAGAAACACAAACTTCCAGCTATCTACACAGACGTGTAATGGCCTGTGTTTTACTTGCATCATACACACGTAAACACAACCTCAGGCATATTTGTGTCATTGTGCCAATGTGTCGCTCACTCTATGTCTTCTGTGCAGACGCTGTCACATTGTTTGTGTGTCAACACATGATTTTCTTCCTCTGATTGCTGCTATACCCTCTTGTCTGTTTCCTGACAGTCAGAGCTGGAGGAATGTAAGGAACAGCTGGAACTGAAGCAGAGAGACATAGTCAAGCTGCAGGAGAGAGAGAAGGCCCTGATCACGACCTTCCAGGCCTCGCTGGGCGAAGACAACAAGTTTGAAGAGTTTCTGACCAGAGTCTTCAAGAAGAAGGTCAAACGTGTCAAGAAGAAGGAGCAGACAGGAAGTGAAGGTGAGGGGAAGCAACATGGTGTGTGTGATGCTGTGTGTGTCCATTTGTCCATGTGTCCTTTATCATCCCAATGTGTGTTTGCAGAGGAAGAGGACAGCGATGAAGACTCTGATGAAGATGATGACTGGGATGATGATGATGATGATTTTGACAGCGGCACGGAGGATGGAGGTGCTGCTCTGGATGACAGCGTTTGCCCTCCAGGTCAGTGACTTAATTCTTAAAGATGATGCAGTCCAGCCCTGCACTATGTACCGAAGCATTTCACTTGCTCACAGAACATTTTCCACCAGACTGTGACGAAATATGATTCAGCAAATACAGCCAAATAATAATTATATAACTTTATAGGCAATTTTTAATTACTTGAATTTGGTGCAGAGTGTTTGTACTGCATCTTTCCTGCCCCCTCCCTGTCAAGCCCACAGCAACAGTATACTGATACTCCATAGATCATCCATATGTGATGTAATCGGTCAGTCATCGCACACACACACGCTGCTTGATCTGTGTAAATTGATTCTGTTTTACAGTTCTTTAGATCTGGATCTGATCTGAAACACACCTTCCTGCACCTGATAAATTTACAGTAAACTAGAGACCAAGAAACGGAGGACAGACCTGGAGCCAGATATATCATTTATTTAATCATTTACATTTGAGATGTTACTTCCTCATAAATAATCCTTTAATTGTATCCAGTCTGTTTCAATATAAATTAATCATTTATCATCTGTGTGATGTCAAATAATGATGATTGAGATGTCACTTATGGTGTTCAGGTACATGTGATTAATGACGGCTAATGACTGCTGCTCTAGTGCTGCTGGAGAATCTCGTCAATGCAGCACAATTAGTGAAACTGCACTTCTGCTCAGCTGTTCTTCTCACTGACAGGTCTAATGACTGGTGAAGCAGTCACTAGTATCACAAACAAGGGAATCAGGGCTGCTCTATGTCTATTTATCGTGAACAATCGGAGTGTTAATGATGCTCGTGCACATGCTCTCAGTTCCCTGTGCACGTTGCTGGCTTTGTGCGTACACACAGTTTTAGTCATGTCTAAAAAAGACCTGAGACTAACTGGGCCCAATCCAAAATGCAGACAACCCAAACAGGCTCAATATGATGAAACTGTCTGCACTCAGGTCCCTGGGTCCTCTACTGTAATAGAACCTGAAGTTCCTATTGCTGTTGCAAATAGAGAGCCACTGTTCAAATCCTGCACAGAGTAACTGCGAGACAGAGCAGAGATTTTAGTTTAGTAAGGGCCCTTGTATTTTCAATAGTGCTTCACTGTGCCTCAAGTTCAACAGGCTTTAACTTTAGCTTCAGCTTTAAGTATGACTCTGTGTGTGTATGTGTGTGTGTGTGTCAGGCTGTGAGCCAGAGTTGTTTGAGAATACACTGCAGCTGCGTGAGCGTCGACTGGACCTGGAGGAACTGCTGGTGGAGGAGAAGAAGAGTGCTGAAGTTCTGAAGAAGGAGTGTGACACCCTCACCAAGAAGGTCAAACTTTGCTTCTCATGGTTCTGTCTGTCAGTGGCATCCTCATGTGTGTGTGTGTGTGTTTTACTTTGCATCTTTCTTCTTTTTCCTGCAGGAGAAAGCGGTGAAGAGCGGTCGGAAGGCAGTAGAGGACGACTTGGAGTTGGTCAACAGAGAGAAGCAAAAGAAAATGAATGAACTGGATGTGGTGGTTCCTCTCAGACTGCACCAGGTGAACAGGCAAAAACTGTGGAGGTTCACTGATAACTTAATCACTGAGTGAAGACAAAACAAAATTCAAGCTCAAGTCAACAGATAAGTAAGCGCATTTTTAGTAACCTTGGAAGATGGTTAGCAGTGATAACATGGAGTGCAGCCGTATTGTACTCAGTGGTATTATTGTCCAAGTGCTCGTGAGTGTAGCCAGACACAAATCAGCAACTACACCAGCCTTCCTTTATTTTGATATCTTCAACAAAACAAGCCAGAATATGTTGACACTAGGCAGACAGGGCAACTCTGGTCAGAATCAAGAGCAGTGGAATGATGTTCTCTGACTGGTGCATTTCACCCTACACCCAAGATTTCACAAAATAGCCCTGGGAAAATCCTGCAATCATAAAAATGACCATAATAAAGGATATTTAGTCTAATGTCATCCAATCAAAATATATTGCAGAGTGATTTTCTGCCCAATATTAAATCACAAATTATGATTTATCAAATTCATTTCAAGTTTAAATTTGTGTAAATAGTGTTATGCATTTTCAAATGTGACAATGACTTGGATTTTTAAAGTTTTTAATTTAGTTCATTCTATGTGTCCAGAAATGAAAGATTTGATTAAATGATTTTATTTTAATGTTGGCAGCCCTGTACTTCCATACTAATACTCTGCATCTCTTGCTAAGTCCTTTTGTAAAGCAGAGACCTTTCCTTTCACCTTCTCCATATGTCTCCCAGATTGAGTTTGTTTTTAACGGCTCAGTGCCATCCGATCTGAGCTCGGCGTTGGTGGTGGACAGGACGGAGTTGAGCAGGCTGCAGGAGCGAATCAAACAGCTGCAGGTGGAGAAGAGCCAGCAGAGAGATCTGTACACCCAGGCCCGCCAGCAGCACGTCAGGCTCATCCACGACCGCAGGGACATGGACACTAAGATACAGGGTAAGGACCCATATTGTGAAGAGATGTAACGTGAAATTCAGATGCCACACGAACACAAACAAGTTACTGGAAAGTGATAAAGTTACACCAGGGAGTGGAAGAGCAAAATTCCTTCTCTGGTCATGGTGATAATTCCCAGTGCCAGAAAGTGGCAACATTCTTGGATTCAATCATTTGTTTGTTGATCTGTGTGATGTTGTAGTGCTGGAGAAGCAGTGCGACGAGCTGATGATGATGAAGTATGGGAGACTGCTGGATCTGGAGGCTCTGCAGACGCTGTCAGGGAACAGGGTGCTGGAGGAGCTCAAGCAGGAAAAGCTCATTAAAGAAGCCGCATACGCCAAGGAAATCAAACAGTGGGATGTATGCTGACCTGTGTGTGTGTGTATGTGTGTGTGTACGTGTGTGTGTGTGCTTTGGCAAGTGTGCAAATTTGCTGTTAACCTCTTCAAACTCAAAATGTTATCTTTATTCAGGCGAAGGTAGAAGAGGCGCGTCAGAATCTGATGGAGGCGACCAAGACTAACACAGAACGTCTCCTCAGCATGTCAAACCTCTTAGACCACAAGAGGGACCTGGAGCGTAAACTCAATGCCAGGCAGAAAAAAGTGGTAATTTCTGTGCATTAAATTCATTTTATACTTAATATTAATCAAAGCTTGAAGTTTATAGCTAAGTTTGCTGAAAAAAAAACTCAAACTGGCCACAAACTTCTGCAGCATCTCCGCCATCTTTGCTGTGTTTCACACAGACTTTCAGGGTGACAACCGATGTTTTGGCCAATAGGAGGTAGAAGAACTCCAAAATAAACCAATGGACAGACAGCTCTGACATATGAGAAGTTGTCATGGCTAACACATTTACACATCCAGTAGACACAGAGCAAAATTATCATAGTCATGTTTGTGTCCAATATGTTGAAATTCTCAGTCTCTGGCTAGTTAATAACTTTGACTGTCGGTGGGTTTATCAGAGCTTATTTGAAAACAGCTGCCTGTTGTTGGAAACAAGGCTGGTGACAGGGAATCATTCAAATGTGCTGTGAAGCCAAAACACTGAGCTAAAAGGAGCTTAAAAGCTCTGCAGAGCTGTAGGGTTGGTTGTAGGTTTGGCACTGCGAGTGATAGTAGAATTCAAGCAGTCAGCATTTCAGCACTAATCAGGGCCAGTGTGATTATTTTAGCCAATTGATTAAAAAATACAGATCAATGAAGGGGTTGATTGTAGTGATGAACCCACAGAGATCCCCAACTCTGCCCTGCTCACTCAATAGATTCAGTTTTATGGAACATTTCTTGGTTCTTGGCTCTTAGTTCAGCCTCAGCACTCTCACCTAGCAGCAGACAGCTGTTTTCACATGACCCCACTCTAACCTACCTGCTAAGCATCAAACAGCACACAGACAAAGTCAGTGATTAGCTGGTGGACATGGTAGTGCATGACGCACATATTTTTTTCAGAGCTATGTTGCTTGTTGCTTTGTGTCTGCTGGATGTTAAAGTAGGCAGCTGTTTGCAAACAGGTTAGCCACTTTTTTAGGTGATAATGCTCCACATATATGTATTCAGTTTAATCATTTAATGCTGCTTTGAATATATTTTTGGCACTTCAGCGATAGCCAGTAAGAACCAATGAGTCTAGGTCCTGGGTCAAACCCTCCTATTATCCTTGGGGTCAATTTGACCCCATTCAATGTTTATCATTCAAAAAATAATAGTTGACTTTTTTTTTTTTGCTTCATATTTCATGATTTTTCCTAATTTGATGGGGACAACTGATTAAGCATAAAATTATCATGATGATATTTTTTCAATTTGCTCAACACACCACGCATCGGTGTTCCTCATGGGTCAATTTGACCCCAAGCTGTTTTAGCTGTGTAAAACTTGTCTGTCTGTGTGTGTGTGACCTAGCATCCCCACACCTGCAGGTGCAGACTTGATACTTTTGAGTTGATACATAACAGGGGGGTGGGGAAAACAACTATTCCCACGAGAACTTTGATGCTTCTCGTGGCGTGGGCATGTGGGAAGCCTCTTGACTTGTGAACTCCTGCCAAAATGAGGAATGCGAGTTGATCACATCCAAGTCTTTCCAACTACACATGCCTCCCCTCTAAAATTATCATCTCAAGTACAATATTTTCAATTGATGGTTATATGAAGAGCTCAAATAATGACTTTATGTCTTCAACATGGCTGACTGTGTGTGTGGTGGGACACACTCTTAGCAGCACATCTACCTTGTTGTTGAAGTGAGTAGAGGGACCATAATTTTCCATTTTTGGTGCTAACGTGACATGGGGGAGGGGCAATATTCTCATGAGAACTTTCCCGCACCATGAGCATGAAGGTGTGTGTGTGTCTGTATGTGTATGTGTGACCTACTGTACTCACACCTGCCGAACTGAAATATCAGAACTGATATTTCCCACGCTGTGGAGGGCGGGTTATTCCCGCAAGGACATTGGTAGTTGCACGCAAAATAAGGGAGGAGCAAACATAAAAGCTTGCACAGCAGCCCTCTATCCAAATCATTCCTCATTGTGCTCTGTGTATAGTGCAATCTGCACGCTCTCTCACATGAAAATGTCCTCTGGGAAAAGGTTTACTGTCAGTGATGTTCTGGAACAGCTCTTTGACAGTGAAAGTGACATAGAGGAGAATGTGTCTGAGACAGAGGATTGTGTTGAGGAGGACCCTGATTTTGAGGCATTGTCATCTGATGACAATGAGAGTGTTGACCCCTTCTGTTGTCTCTCAACCACCAGCAGAAACGATTCCTTCCAAAAATGGAAAGATAATATGGTCCCTTTCCCCACTTAGACAGCAGGGTAGACTTAGTGCTACTAATATTATCAAAACGGTTCCAGGCCTCACCAGATATGCAATCAGCCATGTTGAAGACATCAAGTCATCATTAGAGCTCTTCATAACACCATTGATTGAAAATATTGTACTTGGGATGACAAATTTAGAGGGGAAGCGTGTGTTTGGGGACAGTTGGAAAGACTTGGATGTAGTTGACTTGGAAGCCTACATTGGTCAACAATTTTCTGTAAATCATTTTCTGGAGGCAAATATCCCTGGGGTCAGATTGACTACAAGGGTAAAATGTGTTAGTAATATTTGAGGATAATAGGAGGGTTAAACCCAGGATGTCATATCAGCACTTAAGATTGCTTTCCTCTATTTCTAAATGAGTGTTTATTTGTATGTATGTATACTGTATTTGTGTTTGTGTGTATCCAGGGCAGGCCGTTCCAGGATTACAGGAGACATGTGGATCAGGAGGAGATCCACAAACTAAAGATCCTGGTGAAAACACAGTCGCAGCAGGCTGAGGTCCTCAGGAGAGAGATTGGCCACCTGTCCCGTAAAGGAGGCCACGTCTTGCCCCCCGGCCAGGCCCCGCTGCCCCCGCTCCCCCCCTTGCCCACCTCCACAGCCCGCACAAAAATCGGCAAACAAGGATCGGGACGTCCTTCCCACCTGCTAACCAAAGTGCAAAACTCACAGAATAGACAGGGAGCTATTTAACAGAGGCCAGAAAAACATACCATTATTGTATTGTTAGAGGTCTCTGCTCACTCCTACAGCTTTCCTATGAATTATTGCTGTTGTTCTTAAGATTAAAATATTTTTTGCCCCATGTGACCTTTCATCTAGCATCAGCCTCAGCTAATTATCAATATTTTAAAATGGATCTTGAAAACAAACAGGCAACTAGATCTCTTTTCATTATTTTTGTTAACCTAACTCTAGAACCAGGATCCTACATAGAGTAACCTCACACTGATCTATCAGCATTTCACATTCAACATCTTTGAACTTTTGCCCAGCTGCTAGATGACCTTGCCTCTGTTCTCAGCCCGAGTATAGACAACTGAACAGCAGCTTTTAAGGTTAGTCATTAAATTCCTTTTCTTGTGGACGACATTCAGCTCTATGTTGCCATCAATCTGAATAATCGTTCAGAGCTCTTCAACTTAAGAGTCCTGTGTCCTGGTAAATATAGATAAAACCAAAGTGCAAATTTTAGGCACTAAGACACAAAGATTGCTCTTTTCTGATGCTTCTGTTAATATTTACTCTGCATAAGAACTTTTTGGAGTGAAACATTAGATCCAGGTCTGTGCTCTGTCTTCTTCACCTTTGTAAAATAGGATTAGACTGTTGTCAGAGTGATGGACAATAAGATTTTAAAACCAGCATTTAAAACTTCTAGTCAAGACAACTGTAATGTCCTACCCATTGGTTTGAATGCTCCCATTCTAAAAACCACACTCAGTGCACATTTTAACAAGAACACCAGATGTAGCCTGGCTTTCTGTCCAGCTTGGGTACAAGCTGCTTGTTACTTATTTACCACATGAAAACTGAGCCGAAAAGGAAATTACAAAATTGATTTTTTTGTATCATGACCGAAGCTCCACAGTAAACAAGCACACAATGACTGAACACAAGCTGCCTCTTGAAGCAAAACCGTTCCTCAATACAAACAGGGCTGGACAGTAACTAAGTACATTTACTCAAGTAATGTAATTAAGTACATTTTTCAAGTATCTGTACTTTACTTGAGTATTACCTATTTTTTGGGAAACGTATGACTGTTACTCCACCTCACTCATGTGACAGATATTGTATTCTGACTCTGACTCACTACATTTCTATGAAGTGGTAGTAGTAATACTATCTCAAATCCATGTTTGAAGTTTTAAAAATAAAGAAAGATTCCTTTCATTTTAAATGTTTGCTGTGTTTACCACGACCAAACTCCATCACTGCTGAAAAAAAAGAAATACGAAATACAATAACTCCTGTTGATTCTAATGTGTTTTTATGGCCATTTCTACAGACTCTGTAGCATATCCTACATATCCAAGCTTTTTACTCTACAGGTTCTACAGTCAGTCAGTCACTGAGTAGGTTGTTTCAGAGTCAGTAGGTTCTGTAAATGTGGAACAATACAATAATGTGCTGACATAGAAAAAATTTACTTTTGAATACTTTTAGTAAAGTAATTTTAAAAGCAAGTACGCCAGTACTTTAACTCAGGTATAAAAAAAAAATGACTGAACAATTTTCACTTGTATTGGAGTAATATTTGTCCAGGAGTATCTTTGACTGACTGTAACAGAGTTTTGTATTTTGTCCACCTCTGAACGCAAATAACATCAAGTTCAGACTTCTGTACTTGGGAGTTTGCAACTGGAACAGCAGCCTACCTCCTAACATCAGCAGGTCAGCTCAGCACTGGTGATAAGACTTCAACACAAACTGTAGCTACTCTGACAAAATGATCTAAACTCAAAGGTCCACAGACTTTTTCAGGGAAACAATGAAATTGACAGTGAGTGTAGTAAAAGACACAGTTCATATCCAATGTGTAATGTATATCAAACATCTTTTTTCTTCAAAATAGCAGCAACAAATATTTTATTTTGATTCAATATCAAAACGCTACAGACAACAGAGCCTAGCCTGGCCCTCGCAGATAACTCTTCTTCCGGGTCAGTAATCTCAGGAGCTGGACAGCGAACTGCCGAGGTGACCGCCGCTCTCACCCGAAGACGTTTCGTCTCTGAAAGCGCCAGAGCAAATTTCCGAACAGACATTATTTGGATAAACTCAGCACATATTTCAAATCGTAGTTACTTCCCGGTCTAAAAAATCAAAGTCCCCGCCGTTGCTGCTGTTTGGTGCGAAATGCATTTATGGATATTTTGGCTGTCCCAAGCGGCCACGCCCCCAAACGGGAGGAGAGAGATTACATTCGGTGTGGGTAGATGTAGTCTTTGAACCGTAATCGATTAGAACAGCACTCGTGCTCCACAAGAATATAACACAGAGAACACCGCAGATTAATAACTGTCCCATTTTCTCTGTCAGTGACACTGTTCAGTCACAGTGCATTTAACTTCCGCTGTTTGTTGAAATGGCGCAGCAAGGAATTCAGATGGACCAGGAAAAACTCTGCTGTTCGATCTGTTTGGATCTACTGAAGGATCCAGTGACTATTCCCTGTGGACACAACTACTGCAAGAACTGTATCAAAGGCTACTGGGAAGAAAAGTGTCAGAAGAAAAGACACAGCTGTCCTCAGTGCAGACAGACCTTCAGATCAAGACCTGTCCTGGTGAAAAACACCATGTTAGCAGAGTTAGTGGAGGAACTGAAGAAGACTGGACTCCAAGCTGCTCCAGCTGATCACTGCTATGCCGGACCTGAAGATGTGGCCTGTGATTTTTGTACTGGGAGAAAGCGAAAGGCTGCAAAATCCTGTCTGCAGTGTCAGGTGTCTTCCTGTGAGCAGCACCTCCAGCCACACTACGATGTTGCTCCATTAAAGAAGCACAAGCTGGTAAATCCATCAGCAAATATTCAAGAGAACGTTTGCTCTCGTCACAGTGAGGTAATGAAGATTTTCTGCCGCACTGATCAGCAGTGTATCTGTTATCTCTGCTTCATTAATGAACATAAAGGCCACGACACCGTCTCTGCTGCAGCAGAAATGACTGAGAGGCAAAAAGAACTTGGGGCAAGCTGGCAAAAGATCCAGCAGAGAATCCAGGACAGGGAGAAAGACGTGGTGGTGCTTCAGCAGGAGGTGGAGGCTATCAATCACTCTGCTGATAAAGCAGTGAGGGACAGTGATGAGATCTTCAATGAACTGGTCCATGTTATCAGGAAAAGAAGCTCTGGAGTGAAGCACCTGATCAAATCTCGACAAAAAACCGTATTGAGTCGAGTCAAAGAGCTTCAGAAGAAGCTCCAGCAGGAGATCACTGAGCTGAGGAGGAAAGATGCTGAGCTGGAGAAACTCTCACAAACAGAGGACCACACTCAGTTATTCCATAATTACCCATCACTGTCAAATCTCACTGAATCTACAAACTCACCCAGCATCAACATACGTCCTCTGCGATGCTTTGAGGATGTGACGGCGGCTGTGTCAGAGGTCAGAGATAAACTGCAGGACATCCTTAAAGAAGACTGGTTGAAGATCTGTATGAACCACAGATCGCTGACAGATACTGATGCGGACGTTTTACTGCCACCAGCAGAGCCCAGGACCAGGGCTGAATTCTTACAATATTCACCACAAATCACACTGGATCCAAACACGGCTCACACAGAGGTGTCACTATCTGAAGGGAACAGAAAAGCAACAAATATGGAAGTATCTCAGCTGTATTCTCCTCACCCGGACAGATTCACTGACATGTTTCAGGTCCTGAGCAGAGAGAGTCTGACCAGACGTTGTTACTGGGAGGTGGAGTGGAGTGGAGGAGGAGTTTCAGTAGCAGTCACATACAAGGACATAAACAGAAGAGGAGATGAAAGTGGATTTGGAAACAATGATAAGTCATGGTCGTTAGAGTGTCCCCTCTTTGGTAATTATCATTCAAAACATGACAACATCAGCACTCCTGTCTCAGGCCCTCAGTCCTCCAGAGTAGGAGTGTACCTGGATCACAGAGCAGGTGTTCTGTCCTTCTACAGCGTCTCTGAAACCATGACTCTCCTGCACAGAGTCCAGACCACATTCACTCAGCCTCTCTACGCTGGACTTGGGGTTGATTATTTTGGATCCACAGCTGAGCTGTGTGAGCTCTACTAGACACATGCTACTGAAATGTATTTCCCCCAGGAAACAGATGACATTTCACATCACAGTGACAGAGCAGTTGATGATAGAAATAAACATTTATTCCTATATAAATGTATTCTGCTGTATGTTGTGTATCACTCTTTCTTTTCCATTACACGGCCGAGACAGAACACAAATAAGCATTCATCCTCATGCAAATATATGCAAATGTGCTGTATGTTGCCTAAAACTGATATGATATTATTTGTATCGTTGCTATGATATTGTTCGGTCTTTCTTTTCCATCAAACAGCCTTAAATGGAGTAGCAATCTAAATCATTTTCCTCTTGAGTGCTGACTCACCGGTTTAACAGACATTGTGAACTGTGTGATGAAATTAATATGGAGATTGAGCCAGAGACCTTTACCAGGATTTATATACAGTACGAACAAAGTCACTCAATAAAGTCATTTCTAAGAGTATTTAAAGTATTGTTTGAGTGTTCTTTCAGCAAACTATCGAATCTGATGCAGAAAATGTCAAACTAATATGACAGTAGGCTATAACTTTTACCACTTTTCCCCTAAATCCCAGTTGAGTGAAGCCTTAGTGTTGATAGGTATCTAGGAATATAGGAAAGGCATCACAGAAGCAACATTGTAGAAGATGGAAACAGTGAAGAGCTGTAATTGGAGAACATTTGCATGATTTCTGTTTGAATTTTGTATTTGATACGAACAGAGCTAAACAAATACTAAAAACACCACAGCAGATGAAGCTACAAGTTCACAGCAGTCCGTGGTCTGGGTAGATTCTGCATGTTTCAACACAGCACAAATATACTGTATAGTTACAGTCTAACTGTGGATTACACAACACTGACAACAACCCACTAGAGACTGTTACTCGCAACAACAACAGACACTGTGAGACACGCTTGAGTAACTGAGGTCAAAGGGATGTTCTTCAGTCAACCAAGAGGCATAAAACCAAGACACCTCCAAAAATTCAGCAACAAAGTGAAAGAAACTTGATCTCTGGCTGACTCCAGTCTCAGTGAAAGCATCATGTGACCAGTCCCATAAAGATTAGAAAAGCTGCACCGCTTTCAATAGAAACGCTCTGACAAAATTTAGTAATCCTCTTCTGGCCTATCAGTGACGTTGGCTTCATAACAAAGTCACCATAGCATCAAGTAAACAAAGTAAACGAGGTCCTATGAACATGGACTAACCTGCCCAAACCACTCCTCTTTCTGGAATGAAGCTACTATACTAGGAAACCACTCCCTTTTATCTCTTGGCTGTCAGTTTAATATTCAGTTTCTATCTTATTCACGCTCAGTGAGAGGTGAAATGGCGCAGCAAGGACTTGAGCTCGACCGGGAAAAATTCTGCTGTTCCCTCTGTTTGGATCTACTGAAGTATCCAGTGACTATTCCCTGTGGACACAACTACTGCAGAGAATGTATTACCAGCCACTGGTACATAGAGGAAGAGGAGGAAATCTACAGCTGTCCTCAGTGCAGACAGACCTTCCAAATGAGACCTGTCCTGGTGAAAAACACCATGTTGGCAGATTTAGTGGAGGAACTGAAGAAGACAAGACCCTCCACTGAACCAACTGATCATGCTGGACCTGGAGATGTGGCGTGTGATTTGTGCACTGGGAGAAAACGGAAAGCCAGCAAGTCCTGTCTGCAGTGTCTGGTCTCTTACTGTGAGCAGCACCTCGAACCTCACTATAAAGTGGTTCCATTAAAAAAACACAAGCTAATTGAAGCTTCTGCAAAGCTCCAGGAGAATACCTGCTCTCGTCACAGTGAGGTAATGAAGATTTTCTGCCGCACTGATCAGCAGTGTATCTGTTATCTCTGCGCCATGAGTGAGCATAAAGGCCACAACATCGTCTCTGCTGCAGCAGAAATGACAAAGAAGCAGAGAGAGCTCGGCCCGAGTCGGCAAGAAATCCAAAGAAGAATCCAGGCCCAAGAGAATCATGTGAAGATGCTTCAGCAGGAGGTGGAACATATAAATCGCTCTGCGGATAAAGCAGTGATAAAAAATGAAAATTTGTCCACTGAGCTGGTCAATATCATCATGAGAGAAAGCTCTGCTGTCAAGAGTAAGATCAGATCCCAGCAGGATATTGAAGTGAGTCGGGCCAAAGAGCTTCAGGCGAAGCTGAAGCAGGAGCTTGTTGAGCTGAAGAGGAAAGACACTGAGCTGGGAAAGCTCACACACACACAGGATCAAATCCACTTTCTGCACACGTACGTCTCGTTGTCACCTCTCAATAAACTTCCTGTCTTACCTACCTTTAATCCTCAACCTCTGCAGTATTTTGAGAATGTGACAACAGCTGTGTCAGAGGCCAGAGATAAACTGCTGAGAAACTACACTGGGGAATGGAAGAGGATCTCACTGACAGTAACGGAAGTGGATGTTTTACTGCCGCAAAACCCAAAGACCAGAGCTGAATTTTCACAATATGCAGTTCACAAGAATCAGCTCATGCTGGATCCAAACACGGCAAACACACAACTGCTATTATCAGAAGATAAGAGAAAAGCAATCTCAGTGAAAACTGCACAGTCATATGGTCAACACCCAGAAAGATTCACGCACAAGTCTCAGGTTCTGAGTAGACAACATCTAACTGGACGTTGTTACTGGGAAGTACAGTGGAGTGGACTGGGAGTTTCAATAGCAGTCGCATACAAGGATATTGCCAGAACAGGAACAGAAAGTCTGTTTGGAAACGATGACAAGTCTTGGGTATTAGAGTGTTCCTCCAATGGCAACAACACTTTCAAACATAAAGGCAACAAAGTCAACTTTGCAGGCCGTCCGTCCTCCACAATAGGAGTGTTCATGGATCACAGGGCAGGTATTCTGTCTTTCTATGAAGTATCTGAAACTATCACTCTCCTCCACAAAGTCCAGACCACATTCACTCAACCGCTCCATGTTGGACTCGGTATTTGTTATTTTGGATCCACTGCAGAGTTTTGTGAAGTCAAGTAGATGAATTACAGTTGATTTCCCCAGCAAACAACAGTTGTTTAGAACAGCAAATAGAAAAGAAGATTTCACAAATGAGATTGATTACGTTTGATTGACTGTTACGCATTTAGTGATGAAACCTGAATCGACAAATATCGATTATAATATGATAATATAATATATGAAAATGTAACCCTCTCTGTGGTCTATACACTGGAGTTCTCCGAATTGCTGTAACATTTCCTCCTCTGTCTGTTTCAATTCTCCAGCCTGAGTTAAGTTTCATTTTTAATCACAGCTGAATAATGTATTTTCTACCAGTTGCTTTGTTAGTGGGTTATGTTTTAATCATTATTTATGATTCATCAGTAGGACAATGGATGATTTTCCACAGTGCTGACATACGTGTGTAACATGCTGTTTGTGTGTATAAAGTGATTGTAAATGGAATGAAAAAAAATATTCTTCAGTAGTTCTCCTGTTCATTGTATATTTGTATTAATGTTGTAATATTTTGGAATTATGTAAACCTGTATGACCCTCAATATAGAATATAGCGTATAAATATGTGATATGTTTGTTTTATTCCTGTCATTTTATAAATGTGTTTGAGTGCAGTAAAAATCGTTATTTTCGATAATCAGGTAGCAACAGGCTGACTGTGTGAAATAGTGCATCTGTTGTAACATGTGAACTCAGTCAATCAATAAAGTTGATTTGTTTTCCATAAATTTAAGCGAATGAAATGAAGTTAATGCACGTTTCCTCTTAGTCTCTGGGTGTAGTCCCAGGCTACGTATTTCAGCAGAGGATTCAATATAGTAAAGATCTGAAAGACTATTAACTTTTAATGTCACAGTATACTGGAACTTAGTGTTCTGGTTTCATGTATTTTGATCAACTATTGTACTGTCATAAACTATGATGAAGGCCAAGTGACAAAATTGGGTCACTCTTAGTACTATTAACAGTTAGAAATTGACTTAACTGATAAGACCTAACTTTTTCTTTTCCTCCTGTCTTTCTTCTTTTCTTTCCTTCACTTGTCTTCCTTATATTTCCTCATTTCCTTCTTTACATTTCCACTTAATTTCTCACTCCCCTCGCTTCAGTGTTTACTCCCTCGATCTTTCTTTCCCACTCTCTTCTCCTTCCTGTCCAGTCTTTAATAATATAAAGTACACCATTAGATAAAATATTTTGCTTCACAGATTTCCATTCCTCGTCTCATTTCCATATTTAATTGTTTAGAATAATAAATGGGCAGCCCACATTGGGGCTTGCCTACAGTGACCCCACACACAATGCCAGAAATAAGGGTACAGTAGGAGTTCATTTCTGTC